AGATAATAAAACCGCGTAATTCGTACGTTTTCACCATCTTCATTACTTCCGATTCGTTTACAGGTGTGTGTATAAAACAATAACTTTTATATCGAGTTATGTAGAGTTTAACTTCAAACAATAACCTTTAAATCAGAAAATAGTCTCTAATTTAGATATTAGCCCTCAATTATAGTTGGTTGCGCCAAAACATAACCTTACTATTGCTAATTGGATATTTGATAAAAATGTTACTCCCTCCGTAACTTTAAAATCTTCCCATTTTAAAAGTAGGTAGACTAAGAATAGTGAAAGAGCATATAAATTATTGAGGGTATGATGAGAAGATAGTGGAATAGTGTGATGGAAGTAAGGACAAATAATAAAAAAGTAGTTCTAATAGTGTATTATTTTCAAAATTATTGAGGGTATGATGGGAAGATTTAGAAATGAGAAGATTTTTTAATTACGGACGAAAAAAGGAAAGTGGGAAGATTTTTAAGTTACGGAGGGAGTATTAGTTTACCATTTTGAGATGAATGTCACAACATATTTATGGGCAATAAGGAACTCGCCATGATTTTACCAACACATGAACGTAATTACGAACATGTAGCTAGCTAACTACATTGTGACATTTATGCCTCAAAAAAGAACATTTTTGTTCAATTGATATATAATTAACAATATGTAAGGAAAAATCCCAAACAAATTATAGACGTGTACTTGATTAAAACTTAAGTGCAATTCGGACCTCTTCCAGGCCCGCCATAATAAAAATAAGTTCCCCATTCCTCATTATAAGAGCTCTTGAATATCATAACAGTCGGTGTTCTCGGCAAGTGTGGATATGTACGTACCGAACCGAAGTCAAACCGTTATCCGAATCCACAACTTCCAAGTTCCGAAAATAGCTCGCTTTTTTGAACCTGTCTTCCGCATATCGTCCCGATCCCATTTGGGTTGAGGTGTGCTCGCCCGTGGCCCGGGAATTGACAACTTCTCCTCCCCACTCGACCATTGTGGCCCGATCAGCTAAGTGCGTGAAGAGCTCTGCGGGCCAGTAGCCCACTAACGTGTTGTCCCCGAACCCCATCCACCAATTTCCAAGCTTTGGGTCCTGCAAATGGATGACTTTTTTGGTTTAGTGAAGTAGAAAAGGGTCAGACGGGAAAGAAAATTGTTGTTTGTACATGCCAACTTGTACACGTCCCATTTATTTATACCTGCAAAGCATTTTGATTAAAAAAAAAACTGCAAAGCATTTATAATCGTAAAGACCATTTATCAAAAGCCAGCCCACATGAAATATTTTATTTACTCCTACGTCACAATCACCTTTTTATCAAAGATCATATCCGTAATTCCGTACCATGAAAATTGAAAAGTAAGATACGTATGCATTTTAACAGTGCGTATACGCTGCAACCGGTGCAACATGAGTATTATGCTCCTGTGCCCAAAACGGCGTCGTTTGAAACATGATGCTCCAACTTAAAAATTTGCGTGTTACTGTTCACCCGCGTGAACAATTTTTTTTTTTTTGTTTTTCATTGTTCAGGAATAGAATGTGATGTAGCTCGTGTGTAATGAAATGTAACTCACGTTATTGATAAATGTAACTCAAGTCCAGTCGAAATGTAACTTGTCAAATACATAGTATAAGAAATAAAATTTGATTTCAATGAAAATAAAGAGTCTAATTGTCCAATTATGTTACATATAAAGAGCATATATGTTTTGTTTTTAATATCAAGGTTATAAAAATGATTTTTTTTTTTATAAAAAAAGTTTTTATTTGAATAGCATGGGCTTATTGGGTTGTGTAACTCGCATTATATTCTGATGTAACACATGTTTTGGAAAATGTAACTCAAATGTAAACAGGATGTAACTTGCTAAGAAAAGTTGATATGTAACTCACGGTATAAGATATGTAACTTAAGCAAATCCTGATGTAACTTGAGTGCGCGCAAGATGTAAGTTGAGTAAGGTCTAAAATAATTTATAGGGGTTTTTCATATTTTAATAAATAAAGGAAATTAATACATTTGAAGAAGAATACAAAAGAAAAAGAAGAAGGGAAATAAGGAAGAATTGCAATAGAAATTGATCGAAGGGAAAGCAGGGAAAGTCGATCGGTGGAAGCGTTTTGCTCTGTGATAATAACATACGAATCATGATTTCAAAAAGTAATTAAGAAGCTAGATAAGATAAACAACAACAATTGGCCGGGGAAGGAATTAGTGCGTTGGAGGATGGCGAAAAAAAAAAGAAAGCCGTGAAGGAGAAGAATAGCAGCCGGCTAAAGAAGAACAGGAAACGATGCCGTTCTGGGTACCGGTATACCATGAGCATGGTATACCGGTCGTACGGTATAATTTGCGCATTTTAACAGCTTCTTTACCATAAAAGTATGAGCAAAATAGACTAGAAATGAATTGGGGCTTGGGCCGGTCACAATGAATAATTAGAGTTGAAAACTACGCCTACTCAACCTGTTATAAAGGGTAAAATCTGGGCTAATTTATTTGGGCTAATGGCCCTTACCCCAGGGCCGCCCCAATAACATGTAAATTTTCTGGGAAAAGAATTAAATTAATATATTGCACAATAATAAAGTAAGAAAAAACATGTAAAACTAACAACAAAATAGACACCAACGTCCTGTCGTCCTGAAATATATTTTGATTTTTGGGGATTTTAACATAATAGACAACAAAATATACTTGAAAACATACACCAACTCTTAACTCTGAAGTATGTTTTGATTTTTTGGGATTTTAACAATTAAAAAAGTCACTGAATTAAGACATTAAAACTTGAAATGAAAAGAACTGAAATCATGAAAAATAAGAGAAGAAAAAATAATTCATGATTTTACCAAAGTTTGTGAAGGTAGGAAACTAAAGTATTTCAGTGCTAACTTGAATAGCATTAGGGCATTAGATCGGGACTTGGGACTCTTAGGTTATTATTATATGCAGCCTGTTTTAGGCTTCTATATATGGAGTATTTACTCATACACTTATACACTAAATAATTAATACGGAGTATTAATATATGCATACATATACCGTATTTAAAAAATAGGCCTAGTTTTTGGTGGCTCTATGTAAAGGCATAGTTTGTACAACCCCTCATAGACGGCCCTGCTAGCTAGCTAGCTACCTAATTAATTATTCAACTTTTTAATTAATGTGGTTTTATTAAGTATGTGGCTGCTCGATGATAAAAAAAAAAGTATGTGGCTGCTCTCCGGAACAGTATGATAGAATTAATAACTGGTTTAACCAGGAAGATAGAAGCAGAATTCTGAGTATACCCACCAGTTTGGTTGATAGGAATGATGGTTACTGGTGGACTGGTGAACGGAATGGCATTTATTCAGTCAAGAGTTGCTATAGAATTTTGATGGGGAATCAAACGAGTGAGTGGAACGGTTGGGGAAAATTATGGGATATACAAGCTCCTCCAAAATTTAAATATTTAGCATGGCAAATAGTGGATGGTTCTTTACCTACGGTGCACAATCTACGCCGGCGAGGAGTCAATATTTTGGGGGGTTGCAAATTATGTGGTGCTGCGGATGAAGATACGAACCATGCTTTGCGTGTTTGCCCGAAGGTGATGGAGGTTTGGGAGAAGGCGGGTATAAGCATGGACGCCCAGGAGAGCGAGTTTGATGAATGGTTTCAGGATCACATTACCAAGCAAACTCGGGAGAAGTGCAGCTTTTTTCTGGCGCTAGTTTGGAGTTTATGGAAGAGGCGCAATGGAACCGTGTGGGAAGGAAAGGAGATGGAAGCATCTGAAGTTATTAACGTAGCTATGAACATGATGACCGCATGGCAGGTGGCGAATGAGGCTGCTGGAAACCGAGGAAAGTAGCAGCGAACCCGTGGGGAAGATAGCAGATGGAGAAAACCAAAGCCTGGTACGATGAAGATTAATATTGATGGTGCTATTAATCAAGCGGGAGGAGTACGTGCTTGGGGTTGGGTGGTTAGAGATGAAAATGGTAGTTTTATTCAGGCCCGAGGTGTGTCAAGAAGGGTGGATTGGTCGGTGGAAGAGACAGAAGCTATGAGTGTTAGAGACGCTATTTTGAGTGCTATTGAGGTAGGTTGGCAGCAGGTTGAGATAGAGACAGATTCATTGAGGGTGGCTGAGAATGTTAAGCGTAAAACACGAGGAGTGTCTTATGTGGATCTAATTGTTGATGATATTCGAAGGCTTGTGGAAACAAAGAGTAACTTTGGAGTCTCTTTTTGTAGAACTGTAGAAGATCTGCGAATACTGTGGCTCATACTTTGGCACGGTCACACGTTACTCTCTCAAATCATAGTGTTAATTATGATAGTATTCCGAATTGTATTCATAGCCAATTAGCGAATGATCTTTTAATATAAGCTTTCGGTTCGGTGATAAAAAAAGTATGTATTAACTTTTAATTTACTACATATGCATTGCTGCTTTTGGAGTTTTGGATGCTACCAAGGTGAACATACGATGGCTAAATAACAAATGCGAATCCCAGCATTTTAATTTCTTGAATAAAATAATTAATTATATATAATCATATATCTATAACATTATAAAATATTTTATCTTTTTTAATAGAAATTTATGTCCTTTAATGTTAGTCAGTGCTTTCTCAAAATTCATTCTAACTCTTTTAACTAAACAAATCTACTTCATTAAGTGAAAATGAAAATGAAATAAGAAACTAACATGTCAACCTTAAAACCCAAATGGGATAATACTGAGTATTTCATATAAACTTAAAGATAATAAAACCGCATAATCCGTACATTTTCACCATCTTCATTAGTTCCGATTCGTTCACAGGTGTGTGTATAAAACAATAACTTTTATATCGAGCTATGTAGAGTTTAACTTCAAACAATAACCTTTAAATCAGAAAATAGTCTCTGTTATAAAATGGAAGGAAATAAGCAGAAGATCAAGGAGAGAAAGTATAGTATGAACACTTGGTGATAAAGATATTATTAATAGTGTGATAAAGGAGTGATTATGGTGTAATCTTAGTGTGTTAATTACAATGGAGAAGCCTCCTATTTATAGGAGAAAAGTTAAGCTTCATAGGATTAGAGGATAATTGTGAACCACACAATTATCATCTAGAATCATAATTATGATTTCCTGATTATTTATATAATGGTGATAATAATTCCTAATCAGGAATAGTTGGAAGATGACTAATTCAATTATATTTCAACACTCCCCCATGAATGGTCATCTTCTAATTATTCTGGGGTATTAGATTCATAGTATTATAATGTACTGTCTCGTTAAAAACCTTTGTCAAGAAAAACCCAGTGGGATAAAAACCTGACGAAGGGAAAAAGAGTGCAGTGCATTATATTACTCCCCCTCAATTTAACATATATCTCGAAGACGATACATTCCAATTTTATGGACCAGTTCTTCAAATTTCTTCGGTGCCAATGACTTTGTGAACAAATTAGCAGGGTTGTCGCATGACTTGATTTGTTTGACATCAACCGTTCCGTCTTTCTCAAGATCATGTGTGGAGAAAAGTTTTGGTGCTATATGCTTTGTTCTGTCCCCTTTGATGTAACCTCCTTTGATCTGAGCTATACATGATGTATTATCTTCATAAATCACAGTAGGATTAGAAGTAAAAGATTTTATACCGCATTCATTTTGTATGTGCTGGATCATTGATCTCAACCAGACACACTCACGACCTGCTTCATAAAGAGCAATTAATTCCGCATGATTGGATGATGTTGCAGTTAATGTTTGCTTCATTGATCTCCATGATATAGCGGTATCACCATAGGTGAATAAATATCCTGTTTGTGATTTTGCCTTTTGTGGATCAGACAAGTATCCTGCATCCGCGTAGCCAATTAAAGTGGCATTTGCACCATTCTTGAAATACAATCCAAGATCGATTGTACCATTGAGATATCGGAATATATGTTTGACACCATTCCAATGCCTTCTTGTTGGGGAAGAACTGTACCTGGCTAATAAATTTACAGAAAAAGCAATATCTGGTCGAGTATTATTAGCCAAATACATTAATGCTCCAATAGCACTCAAATATGGTATTTCGGGACCAAGGATTTCTTCATCATCTTCACAAGGTCGGAAAGGATCATCATTCACATTGAGAGATCGAACCACCATTGGAGAATTGAGCGGATGTGCTTTATCCATGTAAAATCGCTTCAAAAGTTTCTCGGTATAATTTGATTGGTGGATGAAAATACCATTTCTCAAATGTTCAATTTGAATGCCGAGACAAAATTTTGTTCTCCCAAGGTCTTTCATTTCAAATTCTTTCATGAGATATTTTGCAGTATTTTCAATTTCATTAGGAGTTCCGATTATATTCAAATCATCAACATATACTGCAATTATGGCGAATCCTAATTCGGATCGCTGAATGAAAACCCATGGACTAATAGGATCATTTTTATACCCTTCTTTAATCAAATATTCACTGAGACGGTTATACCACATGCGTCCAGATTGTTTTAATCCATATAATGACTTTTGCAATTTTATGGAAAATAAATCTCGAGATTTCGAGCTATAAGCATCAGGTATTTTAAAGCCTCCAGGAATTCTCATATATATGTCTGTATCGAGTGAACCGTATAAATATGCGGTCACCACATCCATTAGGCGCATTTGCAGCCTTTCAAAAACAGACATGCCAATTAAAAATCTTAAAGTTGTAGCATCAACTACTGGAGAATACGTCTCATCATAATCGATTCCTGGCATTTGAGAAAAACCTTGGGCAACAAGTTGGGCTTTGTATCTAACGATTTCATTTTTCTCGTTGCGTTTACGCACAAAAACCCATTTAAAACCGACAGGTTTTACGCCTTTTGGCGTATGGACAATTGGTCCAAAAACATTACGCTTTTCTAGCGATTTTAATTCTACCTGAATTGCTTCATTCCATTTTGGCCAATCATTTCTACGACGACATTCGTCAATAGATTTAGGCTCATTGTCATCGTGTTCATTCATTATATCTGTGGCGATGGCATATGAAAATATATCATTAACATCAATATCATTTCTATTCCATTGTATTCCATTAGAAACGTAATTAATTGAAATTTCAAAATTATCGACGTTTCTATCTTTATCTGGAATATTTACCTCTTCGAAGGTGATTGGATCCTCTTTTGAGGTATCATTATTGTTGATGTTATCTTCAAGGCCGATATTTTCAAAATGTTCATTTTCTTCTTGAGAAGGTTGAACTTCTTTGGCATCACAAACTACAACTTGCTGTTTAAATTTTCTTGTTTTCAAATCTCTTGAACCAAGTGGTCTACCACGTTTTTTACGTATCATAGATTCATTAGCAAGTGTTCTTTCGCTAATCTCCGCAGGAATTTCTATTTGAGAAGGAGCATTCATAGCTGGAACATGTGACTTTGTCACTTTCTTTGAGTCTGTGAAAGCATCAGGCAATTGGTTTGCAACATTTTGTAAATGAATAATCTTTTGAATTTCTTGTTCACAAGCATTTGTGCGAGAATCAAGAAAAGATAAATTTGTTGCATTCCAAGTAATATCTTTCGTACGTGGGTCCATTTCTTTAATATCTCCCCCTAAGGCTGGGAATAATGTCTCATCAAAATGACAGTCATCGAACCGCGCGGTGAATAAGTCACCGGTCATAGGTTCTAGATAATTAATAATTGAGGGTGATTTAAAACCAACATAAATTCCCATTTTAGTACGATAAGGTGGAGCAATTGGTACATACACAGAACAACCAAATATTTTTAGGTGTGATATATTTGGTTCTTTACCAGATATTAATTGTAATGGGGAAAATTTATGATATGCCGTTGGCCTAAGCCGAATTAAATTTGCAGCATGCATTATAGCATATCCCCATGCAAATGATGGTAATCTGGATTTCATCAATAATGGTCTAGCAATTAATTGTAATCGCTTAATTAAGGATTCAGCAAGACCATTTTGTGTGTGTACATGTGGAACTGGATGTTCCACATCAATCCCAATTGACAAGCAATAGTCATTAAAAGATTGGGATGTAAATTCTCCTGCATTATCAAGTCGGATTTTCTTTATCGAATAATCCGGAAATTGTGATCTCAAACGAATAATTTGAGCAAGGAGATTTGCAAATGCAAAATTTCTAGTCGATAAAAGACTGACATGTGACCAACGTGTTGATGCATCAATGAGCACCATAAAATATCAAAACGGTCCACACGGAGGGGTAATTGGCCCACAAATATCTCCTTGAATTCTTTCTAAAAATGCAGGAGATTCAACTCCAATTTTGTATAAAGATGGCCTGATAATTAATTTACCAAGAGAACAGGCAGTGCACGTAAAATCACTTAATTGTGGAATCTTGACATTAGTTAATGAATGTCCACGTGAATTTTCAATGATTTTGTGCATCATAGTGCTGCCCGGATGACCTAAACGGTCATGCCACAAGATAAAAGAATTGTGGTCATAAATTTTAGATACCACATTTATCTCAATTGGACTGATATATGTATAATACAGTCCCGAGGAATATGCTGGCATTTTTTCAGAAATGTATTTATTGCCAGATCTATTTGTCGTTAGACATAAATATTCCTTCTGATTTTCAGACATGGTTTCAATATGAAAACCATTCAGACGCAAATCTTTAAAGCTCAAAAGATTTCTCCGTGATTTACTGGAGTATAAAGCGTCTTTAATTACTAATTTTGTCCCTTTTGGGAGAATCACACAGGCTATTCCAGAACCTTCAATGAGTTTAGCAACACCTGAGATTGTATTGACATTAGCATCAACTAATGTCATATGAGAAAAATAATCTCTATGTCTCAAAATGGTGTGCGTTGTGGCACTGTCTATTAGACATTGTTCAGAGCCACTTGGAGAAATTTTAGTTAACTCCATATCTGCTGGGAAGATGATGATTTCAAGGATTTGGAGCAAATTCGTGCTGATAACGTGTTATAAAATGGAAGGAAATAAGCAGAAGATCAAGGAGAGAAAGTATAGTATGAACACTTGGTGATAAAGATATTATTAATAGTGTGATAAAGGAGTGATTATGGTGTAATCTTAGTGTGTTAATTACAATGGAGAAGCCTCCTATTTATAGGAGAAAAGTTAAGCTTCATAGGATTAGAGGATAATTGTGAACCACACAATTATCATCTAGAATCATAATTATGATTTCCTGATTATTTATATAATGGTGATAATAATTCCTAATCAGGAATAGTTGGAAGATGACTAATTCAATTATATTTCAACAGTCTCTAATTTAAACATTACCCATCAATTATAGTTGGTTGTGCCAAACATAACCTTACTATTACTAATTGGATATTTGATAAAAATGCTATTTTACCATTTCTAGATGAATGTCACAACATATTTATGGGCAATAAGGAACTCGCGATGATTACCATTACCAACACATGAACGTGATTACGAACATGTAGCTAGCTAACTACATTGTGACATTTATGCCTCAAAAAACAACATTTTTGTTCAATTGATATATAATTAACAATATGTAAGGAAAAATCCCAAACAAATTATAGACGTGTACTTGATTAAAACTTAAGTGCAATTCGGGCCTCTTCCGGGCCCGCCATAATAAAAATAAGTTCCCCATTCCTCACTATAAGAGCTCTTGATATCATAGCAATCGGTGTTCTCGGCAAGTGTTGATATGTCCCGAACCGAAGTCAAACCGTTATCCGAATCCACAACTTCCAAGTTCCGAAAATAGCTCGCTTTTTTGAACCCGTCTTCCGCATATCGGCCCGATCCCATTTGGGTTGAGGTGTGCTCGCCCGTGGCCCGAGAATTGACCACCTCTCCACCCCACTCGACCATTGTGGCCCGATCAGCTAAGTGTGTGAAGAGCTCCGCGGGCCAGTAGCCCACTAACGTGTTGTCCCCGAACCCCATCCACCAGTTTCCAAGCTTTGGATCCTGCAGCAATGGATGATTTTTTTGGTTTAGTGTAGTAGAAAAGGGTCAGACAAGAGAGAAAATTGTTTTTTTGTAAGCGCCTACTTGTACACGGCATTGTGTACACCGAGTTTTTGTCTATACATGGACATTTTTTCATTTTGTCAAGTGAATTGTGTGTGACATTGATAAAATTTTGTCAGTGTCACACATATTTCTCTTTACAAAGTGAAAAAAAGTTATCTGGACAAGGAGTGAAGATGAAGCAAGGTTGATGAATAAAATGACCTTCCAGATGAGTATAGTGATGTCATATTGGTTTCCATCAGCAGTAGAGAGTGGAGAAATTGAAGCACCAATTGCTATCCTACTATTTGTCTGAACAAATCCAGAGCATAGGAGGTTGTAGCACCCAGTTGTTTGATATGCATCACTCTGTTATACATTAAGTGTAAACAAACACTTTAGTTTTTAAGGAATATTTTAATTTAAACAGAAAGGTGCAATCAATAATAAATAGTAGTCATTGAATTTTAATCTGCAAGACTGCTACTAATTTCGAATTTTCACTATTGTGAGTCAGATTTTCCGTCCCACATTAACTTTTGGTTTGGGCACAGTGAAGGAGGTCGCATGTTAGATTTTCCTACTAACATTTGGCCAAATAACTTGTGCTTCCAACACATTGCTATAACATTCCCACAAAAGAGGTCACACGTTCGAAACTCATTTCAATAAAAATGTTGACATTTAATTGAACAAATACAATGAAAAAGAGAGAAAGTACAGTCAAAGAAAAAAATGTGTTGATTACCCATTGAAAACAGTATGACTTATAGTGGTTTTTTTCATGCATACATTTTTTTTAGACACGTTTCTCAACGGTGAATTGCCTTTTCACAGACAAATTATGTGAAAAATGTTATCGAAAATATATTTTTTGTTTCCAAGAGCTACAATAACTAAATTATTTTCCATGAGAAATAATGTTATATTTAAGCCATTATTATATGCTATTATGAGGACAAGAAGATGATGCAAAAATTGCATAAGCAATTATAATCAACTAATAAATGAGGAAGATAGAAATCTGACCGTCCAATAAGTGAACAATCTTGGTCTGTTATCACCATACAGCTCCGGACTGACCTGACTAGTAGAAGAATCAAAGCTTAAGAAATTGATTTAAATAAGACTAAAACATAGTCAAAATTCTAAAATAGGACTTAATGTTTTAAATTACCTAAATAGGACCTCCTATTACCAATTTACCCCTGATAAAATTAAACCTAAATCTGCTGCATCTCTATCGAAGTCTAAGCATCTCCAAACTCCAGCTTGTTTATTTGCCGCTTCGATCATCGCCGCCTCTCAGTCTCTCACCGATAACCTCATCCGCGCACAGGTTACCTCTTTCTCCTCCTTTCTTCTTTTCTTCTCACTCTCCTTCTCCCGGCTCCCCTCTACTCCTCTGTTTTCTGCTGCTATTGCAGTCTTGCCCTTATTACAATTTGCAATTAATTTATTTGCTTACTATCGTATTTTTGTATGTGAAATTATTGGATTGAAAACTTTTGGTTATGAAGATTTGAAACTCCAACCGTAGCTGTTTGAAATTACGGATTTTAAGGAAAAATGTCATATTATGGCATTTTTGGAGATGGGCAATATTACATCATTGAGAATGTCATGCTTTTGATATTTTTGACAAATTATGTCATTCGTATGTCTAAAAAAATGTCATGTTTAGATTAAGAAAAATGACATGTTTTTGCTTCAATTCCTAGCCATGTTTTTGTCATTCTTTTTTTATCCCATGGCATTTTCTTATGTCTGAAAAATGTCGTGTTTGATTCCAAAATGACATGTTTTTGCATCCTATCCATGTTTTTGTCATTCTTTTTATCTCGATGGCTCTAAAAAAATGTCATGTTTAAATCCAAAAATGACATTTTTACAACATAGTGGATATGCAGAGGAGATGACAGCTGCAAAGAAGATGCCAGCATGGGATAATTCAGCAGTGGCGGATGACACACTGGCACAATTCTTAGCTTGTTGGAGGGTGTCAAGTTGCCTTTCAAGAGGTGTGCAACGGAAGGTAAGCAGGCAGCCATCTCACTTGGAGGCTACGTCGGTCTGACATGGTGGTGGAGGCTGCCTGACCTGGCATCGGCTGTCTCATCACCTGGAAGTTGCGTGTAGGTGTTGGTGGTGTCTAGCTGCAGTGCGTCACAGGAGGGCTAGGAATTTTATTAATCTTTGTTTCCAAGGTTAATTTTGTCCATGTACTATATTTTAGTCCTAAACGAGGCCAAAGAAACATGGTAGTCTTAATTTTGAAATTCTCCATTGTTTTAGTCCCATTTAGATAATTTACTCTCAAAGCTTTAGAGAATTAATTGGTAAAAAATAATTAATAAAAAAAAGGGAAAGCGGGTGGGATGATAGTATGCGGACGAGAGCAGGGAGTGGGAAGGAGTACCTGCCAGCCAGCTTCAATGCTGTTGAGATCTGAGCCGTCGAAAGATCCGGAGAGGACCCAGATCTGGGAGAGGCTGAACTCGTTGACCGTCTCTATGGACGGGTCCCACACGTTGATAGTCGCCTTCGCCCCGTATATGTCCTGTGAGGCGCCGGTGTAGGCGATTGCGTGCTACACAATTTATTACGTTCATGATTATGACCAGGGACGGAGCCAGAACTCAGTCATAATGGGGGCCAAGAACAAACACAAACACTAAAGAAAAAAATCTCTAAATAGGACAAAAAAAAGTTTATAAACAGGATTATCATTGTTTTAATCTCAAAATAGGACTTTTTGACTCCTATTTTGGCAAACTAATCAAATAATTTTTAATAGAACTAAATAAGATCTATTCAAGGAGTAAAACATATTTTTTCATATTTTTAATGAGGAATGATCCTTTCAGAATTACATGACGGGATCCACCATCCGGATGTGTGTGTTTGATGTGCTTCCGGATGGATTTTTTGGGTGAAATTTTATGACAATATTCTTCATGATGTGTAGATTATTTACACTTAATTTCAGTTTAAAATTCAATCGACAAATCAGTTAAATAAATTATTGAAAAACACTGTACCAAAAAATATATAAAAAAAACTCAAGGTTTTTCCATAATTTATTTAATTGACTCTCCAATTGCATGTAAGCTGAAATACGATGAATATAATATACACTTTATGAAATACATGTTCACAAAAATTTATCAAAAAATTCTACCCGAAAGCAATCTCACATAAAAGCTTCTATCGAGTAGTTTTGACCCAATCTTTACTGATTATTTCATTTATAATAG